AGTAAAAGCATTTTTAAATTGCAAAAGCGGGTTTTTCGCGTGATTAGTGGTATTAGTAGTCGCACGTCATGTAGACAAATTTTTAAAGATTACAATGTTTTAACATTGCCTTCTCTGTATTTATTGGAGGTGACATGCTTTATCAAAAAATACAAGGCTTTTATGGCAATAAATTCAGGCATTCATAATTATAACACACGAAGAAAATTAAATTTTCATGTACAGCACTGTAATACAGCTCTTTTTAAGAGGAGTGTGATAAATATGGGAATTAGTTTGTATAATAAGGTCCCCAATCAAATAAAACAAAAGGAAAATTTTAACTCATTTAAAAAGGAATTAAAATCTTTTTTGCTGAAACATTCCTTTTATTCTGTAGATGAATTTATGTCTTTTGATTCATCAAGTGTGTAAATGTAATATGTAGCTGATTAATTTGTTGTATTTGTGTAAAGACAATGAAATTAGTGGTAACTAGATCTAGATAATATTATTCAGACAACAAACCCCCTATATTAGGGTGGTACAGTGTATACTGTAAAGATATGCACAAGAATTAAATGTAAAACTGACAATTTCCCTATCCAAATGGTGTATCATATTAAATTTTTTGGCATTGATATTGATAAGTGCTTGAATTGGAAGACACAGGTTGAATCATTGTTACCCAGATTGGGAAAGGCATGTTATGCAATACAAATTATGAAACCATACAGTAATATTACAACACTTAAAATGATATATCATGCATACTTTCATTCACTCGTGAGATATGGAATAGTTTTTTGGGGTAATTCGTCAGAGGCCAAGAAGATCTTTCTCTTACAAAAGAAGGCTATTAGACTAATAATGGAGATGAAACATAGAGAGGCATGTAGGCCAGCATTTATAAAGTTAAATATATTAACACTGGTGTCCCAATATATTTTATCTCTGATGACTTTTATGATAAATCCTTGGAGTATGTTACTTTTAATTATTCAATTTATGAGAGAGCAACAGGACATGAAAGAAATTTACATGTCCTACAATCACATCTCGCAATGAGGCAGAAAGGAGTTCACTGCATGAGTATAAAAATATTTAACAGTCTGCCCGGATATTTATCTAACTTAGTACATGATAAAAAACAGTTTATAAATGAAATAAGAGATGTCCTAATACATAATCCGTCATATACTGTTGATGAATTTTTGCTCTTCTGTCGGGATCAACAGCTAAGGAATAGAAGGGGAGTGCATGCTGACTGATGGATGTCCCAAAGTAGGCATTAATATAGACATTAAGTGTAAGTGTAAGTTAAGGAAGGAGAATTATTATGTATTGCTAATTATCTTGTTGGTATAATCGTATGTGTAACATTGTATCTATTTATTTGAGGTATTCAGTTTAGATTTTAACTATGGTTGAATTGTGTTTCTGCGATTTTATCTGTGATTGTCTTGTGACTGTTGTTTGACAAGTTTTATATTCAGTGCCAGTTGCACACTTGTGAATACTCTGAAACGCTGATGTATGTATTGTTGCATACGTAAAAGTGTGAGTAAATTGTGTA